CGCCCCCCGCCCGCCCGCGCCCGACTTTCTACCTCCTCGTGATCCAACCCGCCACCCCCCTCGCCCGTCACCCTCCCGCCGCCTCGGCGCCACCCCGCCCGCCCGCGCCCGACTTTCTTGTACCTCCTCGTGATCCGAACCGCCGCCACCCTCGCCTCACCCTCCCGCCCGAAATGCTTCGCCGTTCCTTCGCCGCTGTGGTCTGCCGTCGTGCCACCGTTCCTTACCGTGCCGCTCCTTCCTCCGTGCCACCGAGGCTTCGACCACCGAGGCTTCGGCCACCGAGGCTTCTGCCACCGAGGCTTCGGCCACCGAGGCTTCGGCCAACGAGGCTTCGGCCAACGATATTATTGCTGCCGCCCCCCCTGCCGTCCGTTACCGCCGTGCCGCCGTACCGCCGCTCCTACAGTGCCGCGCCCGCCGCGCCGTATGTCCCGCCGTCCGATGTCCTGCCTGCCGCCTGCTGCCGCCGCGCCGCCTTACCGCCGACCCTTATCGTGCCGCGCCGCCTTTACACACACACCTTACTTTCTGCTCGACCGAGTTTGCGCTGATGAGCGAACCGAGCCGCCGGGTGCCCCGCAGCGGCCTCGCTGGGCCAGAACATCGGCCCCGAGTGCTCCGCAGCAGCCTTGCTGGGCCAGAACGTCGGCCCGCGAGGTGGGGTGCTAGTCTGGGACCCATACGTGGCAGTTCCCTTGCTCCAAGCGCTTGCGCTTCGGCGGTAGTGATCTGATCACCCGAATACCACGTTCGGATCGCTCCTCATCGCAAACCCTGTCAGCAGTTCACCTACGGGTATGTTCGTAAGAGCTACATACACTGAAAAAAAATAGAGAGCTCCAAGTTTCTGAAAAGTTCGAATACGAAACGGATTTTAGCATTTAAATTTAGGCGTCGATGTTTTAGTTCGTGAGTTCTGTGTCCCCGTCCCTGTGCTCCACCTTCTTCTCCCGTGTCAGTCCCTGAGAACCCCACTATACAGCGCCACCTCGTGAGCTGTCCTGTGAGCTGCGTGCTGTGTGTCCGACAGTGGGTCAGGTGCTCAAGCGCGACGGCGGCCAGCTTCGCGTCCAGCTTCCGGCTAAGATAACATCGACGGAGAAGTAAGTGCAAGCCAGTGCCTGCGGAGCTCCAGCGGAAGCAAGAGGAACAGGCAGAGAGGCAGCGCCAGCAGCAGGAGGCGGCACTGGAAAATTCAGCAACTCGTGCACCGCCCACCTTACCGAAGCAATCGCTCCCGCTCCGGCTGCAACAGCTCCCCGAACCAAGCCCATCACCGACGGACAGGATGCTCAGGGCAAGCCCATCATCGTCGGTTACGCGCCCCTCGCTCCTCGGCCAGAGTGGCTTGCGAAGTCTGGGCCGGGACAGAAGCATGTCCCCCCGCTGTGCTGGTCGCTCAGTGTCGAGCAATGGGTTTTCTTTGTGCGGATGTGCGTGTCTACAGACACCTGGAAGAAGCTCGCTGAGATCAAGGGCGAGTACAATATCACCATGTCGACATCAACGACCACTTTGTCAAGCCTTGGACGGAGGGGACCGGATGCTCTATCGCGCTCCTCATGAACAACGCCGAGCAAGTGCCGGTCGAAGGTATGCTCGCACGCAGGGCGGGGTCGGTCGTCGAGACGTATAACTGCCTACAGAATATGGTTAACCACTTTGGCGTGCCCTCGACGGCACGGTTCTTCTTCTGCACCTTTTCGATGTATCAACCGCAGGACGGTGCGGAGAAGGGCCTATCAATCTCGGAGCAGGTTGAACTCGAACCCTTCTCCAAGATCATCGAATCAAGGCCCACGCACGGTATGTTTGTGCTCCACACGACCGTTTCGGAGGTCTACGATCGGTTGTGGGTGGCGCACGAGGCAGACGTGGGCATCGACGCAGCACTGCAGATACGTGGGCTCTTTGACATGTACCGGTGGTCAGTCGAAAAGTTCGAGCTCATCTCTGCAGTCAAGACAAGCGAAGGCAAGTGCAGCGTGGAGAAAGACCGCGTCGTCATTGAGAATCTGATCAACCAGCGAGGTGGCTACGACCGGCTGGACGGTGCCATCATGGTGTTTCGGAAGAAGATGTTGGGGGAGCTCACCGACTTTTTACACCTGGTGGGGGGCGAAGGACGTGGTGCCTTGGGTGATTTGGGTTTGTGCCAAATGAACACTGCAGTGAGACATTGTCATTGAGTCCGGACCACTTGGAGGCGCAGCTTCCCTTTGGGGCCTGATTTCGTGTGCTTGAAGAGGAGATTACCTGAGGGGTAAGTGATGTTGTACCGGTTTTGTTCATTGTAGGCCTGAATGCAATATGCTCTCGAATGTGGATTGTGCGCGCACGTTAGACTGACGTGTCTCGTGCAGGTCTCGACTCTCGTGTGTCGTGTGCGCGCCCGCGGCCAGCTGTGCAGTCCAAAGGCCGAGCGTTTTTCATCTCTGGGTCTGTGGGGGGCCGAGCCGCCTCGGGGTGGCGGGCGGGCGGGCGTTTTGAAAAACAGAATTTTACAACAAAACTCCCTCTCGCACAACACTGGGCACGGGACTGGCAGAAAACAGAAAACAAGAGGGGGCCCGGGGGGGGCCGGGACCCCACTGGGAGTAGAAAATACGCCCAAGGGGGCCCAAGGAGGCGGCGCGGGGAAGCAGCATCAGGTGAGAGCAGGAAGGATGGCGCTTAGGGTCGGCACACATCCCCATATGAGGTCAGCGGCGCGCAGTGCCTCTCTCGCAGGCTGATTTTGGCTGTTTTCGAGCTTGTTTTTGTTTTCAGTCTAGGGGGCCCGACCCCCTCAGAGGCGGCGGGCGGGCGCCCACAGACCCAGAGATCAAAAACGCTCGGCCAAACTCCGAAATGCGAAAACTCCGACTCGCCCCGTCGCCCGTGGCGTGCGGGGTGGTTCATGTGAATACGCCGGATTTCCCCCAGTGTATTATGTATTATACGTGTTGCACGCTTTCATAGAGGTAAACTATCTCGTTTCAGGCGACCCCGGGAACCGTGGGCTCTAGCTAGCTTCCCTAGGGGCGTGCGTGAATAAACAGCGAATACGAAACTCTACTCTCAACCAGAGTCGCCGGTAATATTCCCCCAACCTGCTCTACCTAGAACTTGAACACCTCCTCCTTGGCGTAGCCCAGCTCCTTGAGCATGCCCGACAGCTCGCCCTGCGCCTTTGGGTCCTCCTTGGTTCCCTTGGCGCCGCACACCACCTGCGCGGCGCGGGGGTCGGCGCGGGGGTCGGCGCTCTCGGCGCTCGGTGCCTCCACGTCGCCCGCCCCCGCCTTGGGCCCGCCCGTGCGCGGCCGCGCCTTGACCATCGGCGGCGGCCCGCACACGAAGACGCGGCCGCTACTCCCGGGCGGCGGCATCCTCTCGGCCAGCATCTGCTTGGTGACGTACCCGACGCCACCGCTCCAGTCGGGGCTCGAGGCCTTGTCAACGAGGTAGAAGACCTCAAGCTGGCTGGGGTTGGCGGCCGCCCGCCTGTCCACCTCCTCCTTGAGCAGGATGTCTTGCTCCGACACGTTGGCAAAGATGAGCGACACCTTGGTGTTGTCTTTTCCGAACGCGCTCTCGCCGGCGAGGATCTCGTCGATCACCTGCAGCATCGGCGCGATGCCCGTGCCGCCCGCAATCATCCCGAGCTTGGCGTGCTCGTTCAGCTTGTAAGGCAGCTTGACGACCGGGCCCTTGATCTCGAGCGTGTCGCCCACCTTGAGGCTGGCGATGTGCTGCGACATCTTTCCATCGGGGTAGGTCTTGACGGCGAGGTCGACGTGCCCCTTGGCGTCGGGGCGCGAGATGGGCGTGTAGGGTCGGATGACGTTGGCACGCGAGCCGTCCGCCTTCTCCGACCCGATGGCGGCCTTTGTGAGCAGGCAGGACGCCACCCTCATCCCGGACGAGGCAGTCTCGTCCTCAAACGCGAAGCGGTAGACGGCGGTGTTGTGAGAGAGCGGCGTAACGCTCTCGAGCCTGAGCGCGCGCCACTCCGTCGGAGACAGCCCGTCGTCTGGGATCCTGGGCTCGACGACCTCGAGCTGCGAGGGGGACACGTTGACCTCAAACGAGACGCCAAGCCCCGACTCCTTCTTCGCCAGCTTGGAGGCCGGCGGCGCGGAGTCAGCAGCAGCGAGCGACGAGAGGCCAAAGGCAGAGGCGGCGACGCCGGCGGCGACGGTGGCCGCGCGGCGCCTTCTCAGCAGGGTGCGGGCGAACATATCTACGGCTAGTTCGCGATGAGAGCCGAAGGCTAGACGCGTGCGCCTGAGCGAAAAAAGAATTTATCGCATGCGAATACAAAAAAAATTTATCATGCGCCCGGTGCGAGTTAATGCGCATTTCTTCTCTGCACTATAGCCCTTGAGAAAGAGCTCGCATTATGCAAACCTGTGCCTGTGTCCTAGGAAGTAGACTGAGAGGGGTACTCCCATAGGCAAGAGGAGGTCTGGAGAGGCCCACAGCGGTCGGTCAGGAGAGGCCCCAAGAGGGTGCTAGATGAGAGTCAGCAGAGCGCGCCGTCTCGGCGGCTATGGCATAGTGGGCTGAGAGGCAAGAGGGATTTTTCTCTCGGGCGGAAGATGAAGCCCCGACTTATAATAAATTGTGCCAGGCGTAGCCGGGGGCGGACAGCACGGAACCGATTTTTATTTGGCGCAGACCCCTCCTTCCTGAGTCACCAGAAAATCCCAACGATCCTTGAGCGGAGGCCGCCTTCGCCACTTTTCCGGCCTCTCCGGAGAATCTGGGAGAATGGCTACCATAGCCTAGCATGGCACCCGCGGGCAAAGCTGCCCCCAGGTCCCTAGAGTCCATGGGCATTCCCAAAGGATATGTCAGCGTGAGGTGAGGGCGCAACGGTGGGGGCTCTCACCAGCCCCTCAAAGTCGGGCCTCTCGGGAGGCGGTCAGAGGGGCGGGCAAGGGCACGTGGGAGAAGGGTCAGTGCGTAGCCAAAAGTGTCATGTGGGTGGATTTTAGGTGGGTGGATTATAGTGCCGGTGGATTGAGCGTGGGTCGGCTGACGGATTGAGATTGTTGGGCCTGGCCCCATTTTCTATCCCTGTGCGTGAATCGACCGCCGCGCTGACCGGGGGCGGCAGTGGGTTTGATGCGCTCCCCCCTTTTGCGTTGGTCGTGGCGCGTGGCGGGAGCAGGCGGACATCGCTTCCAGGGAGGGGGGCGCACTTCTCTCCACACCACATGCTAGGGGGGGGGTCCGACCCCCCCCAGCACCTTCACCACATGCTAGGGGGGGGGTCCCGACCCCCCCAGCACCTTCACCACATGCTGGGGGGGGGTCATGGCCGAAGACCTCCCCCCCCAGAGACTCGTGGTCAGACCTCAAACCCTCCGGGCCCTTGATTTTGCGCCCTCATTTCGCAACATTTTCGAGGGGAAAATCATCCTTTGGAGCTACATGAGCCTTGAGACTGGTCAGATTCCCCAAGATATTGGACTTTCAGCCACCATTTCACAACTTTGGGGGCAAAATCGGCTCTCTGGCGGCTATTCCTGCCCACGAACTGCTGGGGGGGGCCCACCACATGCTAAGGGGGGGGTCCCCACCCCCCCAGAAGCTTCACCACATGCCAGGGGGGGGGGGGGGGGCTTCTTACACAGGCGTCGCCACCCTCCCTGGAAGCGATGTCCGCCTGCTCCGGGCGTGTCGGCTTCTTACACAGGCGTCGCCACGGGCACTGGCGTGGCCACGGGCACCGCCGGCGGCGTGGCCACGGGGGCGGGCTGCATTTGCACGTTGTTTGCCGGTGCGCTCGAGAACCGCCCGGAGGTCCACGTCTTGACCCGGACAACCCGCGTGCGGGTTGGTTCGTGAAAGACCGCAAAGGGGATGAAAATGAGGAAGCAAAGGCCGAACATGATGAAGATCCAGCCCCAGTACCAGAAGTAGACCCCGCAGGTCCCGCAGCAATAGTAGTAAAGTCCGTACGGGTTCCAGCAATAGTTGCAGTAGCATCGGTGGCAGTTGTAATCCGGCGATCCATCATCGTCATGATCGTCGAAGTAGCATCTGCCATTATCTTCCCAGTCCAAACGGCGCCGGTCCGTCACCTGCGACCCTTCGAAGGTTGAGCGGAAGTTCTCGAACTGCGCGGATAGGCGGTCCGACATCTTGATCGTCGTCATGACCTCGCCCAGGCTGAGCACCGCAAAAAGGCAGAGCGTCATGGTGGTTTCGGCGTCTGTAGATCTGCGCAGGCGGTGGCGAGAGTGAGCGCAACCATGTGTGTAATGGCGAGTTCTCGCCTGGCTCGAGAGTTTTGGGTTGTGGCGAAGCGCGGGCAAGCGGGGGCAAGCGAGGAGGCCACCGGCGACCTTGAATTCCGGCGTGTATGGTTCCTGGTTTCGTTTTTTCTTTTCTTCGTGTGCCGGTGATAGTACTAGCACGCGCCAGTTCGCACCTGTGTCGAGCCTGTCTGCTGTGAGAGAGAGTTCATTTGTCCGGCGTCCACCCATACCGCGTTGGTGTCCAGTCCGAGCCTGGCTGAGTGGCTGTTCTTCCTTCCTATGTATGTTGGTAGGGAGGTGATGAGGAGTCAGTTATGCGCGGCGGCGGTTAGACGTTACGGGGCGAATCGAACGTTCGGAGGCTTCGGAGGTGCGGAGCGTGCCTATCTAGAATGTGGCAGCCCGCTGGCTGTGTGTCTTGTGAGCCTGTTTGTGTCTGCGTGTGTCGCTCGTGCGTGTCGTCATCATCTGTCTAGCGTCCACCCATACCGCGTTGGTGTCCAGTCCGAGCCTGGCGGTTCTTCACCTTTCTACCTACCTACCTACTCTAGAACTTGGCGCCCTGCTGCTGCTTGAGCCCCGCCATAAAAACGGTATGGTGTTAGGAGTGCTCTCTGCTGCCGCGGCGCCCCTGTCGGTGCGAAGGCGCCCGGCGGCCGCTTGGTGCCCACGCCGACCGGGTGCTCTCGCGGCGCCGAGACGTACCGCCCCGGTCACGTCACGCGCGCTGCGAGGTGTCTTTTGGCATGTGAGCGCTGGCAGGAAACGCCAAGAAGCTGGTCTTCCATGTCTGCGGCCGCGGGCGTGCGGGCGGGCTCGACGGGCTGGGCGAAGCTCCGACCGAGCGGGTCTTCGAGCTCGCCGCCCGCGAGGAGCCAGCATGGCTCGTCGCTCGACGGGAGCCTGACCAGCATGCTCTGGGCATGCTGTACAGCCTCGCCAAGCTGTCTGGGAAGGCCTACAGAGCCAGGGCGGGCTGCCTCGGGCGCGATGGCGCGCTGAATAGTACCATGACTACGATCTACGAGCTCTCGATCGGGTCGCCGGCAGCGGGCTTGCGCGGCGTGCTGCTCGACGGCAGGCCGCTCCCCACCCTTTCAACAGTGTCTTTTACCTCGCTGCTCTCGCTGCAACCGCCTGCGGGGGCCGGCGCCGGCCGCCTCGCTTCGCCAGCGCTGCCTAGTACGTCTGCGACACGCGTGTCGGCCCGCCGCCCGCGTCGCCTGCGGCGGGCCCGCGTGGCGCGACGCTCGTCGGGAACGTGCTCAGCAGGCTGTGCAGCGCAGCCTGACTCACTCAGAGCGCCGCTGATGCGGCGTGGGGCCGCCGGCGGCACTGCTGCCGCGCACGCTGCGCTGTGGGCGTCACCATCGTGTCCTCGCCGCGTCGCCGACGCCACTTGCGGCTCGCGGCTGCCCTTCCCTTCCCTGCCATCGCGCAAACACACACACACACACACACACACACACACACACACACACACACACACACACACACACACACACACACACACACACACACACACACCCACACACACACACACACACACACACCCACACACACACACACACACCCACACACACACACACACACCCACACACACACACACACACACACACACACACACACACACACACACACACA